ATATATAACGATCACCAAAAAGATAAATTAATTTAAGAATCATGAATTAGTTCAAAAAAAAAAACAAACTTGAATTAAAGAAAAAACTTTTATAAAGTTGTTTTCTCGTGTCGCAATCCCAAAATGAGTTTACTATTACCACACACTAAACAAATGCAAAATTTGATACTTTCGAACATTTCCAGCACAAAATCCCACAATAGACCAATAACATACAGATATATCCTCAAATTGTTGGCAATTCCATACCGAAATACATGGAAGAATCATTGAAAAGCCAAAAACAATGATGAAATGAATCCATTGACTTACCACCGTAATCGTTGAATCGAAATCACTATAGCATAAGCACAAAAATATAATAGAAATTGTCTCTTAATATTTTTTGAAAAGTTACGATTAAGTCCCAAAAAAAAAATTTGAACATAAAAGTCTTGACTATTTCATTTTGGCTTAAATTAACAATTAATTTCTTTTATTATGGTGTAAAATCAAATATTCCGGATTTTTATATTAAAAAAATGTGACTTTATTGTAACTTTTCAAAAAATATTGTCCCAAATATTTTCTACTCAAAATTTATTGAAATTAAAAAGTATAGTAACACACTCGAATGTCATTCATGATGAACATGAAAATATTTAATAAGAAAGCTGGTAAAAAGAAGTATAAACAAATTATATAATTACAAGGGAAAGTAATTGATAATCCTCAAAACCAGGTTATGGTGGAATGGCCGAATGGGTGGAATGGATCCGCAAGGTTCCTATCAAGGTTACACGTTTTATTTTGAGAGCAACGCAGATCACTATGTGCTCTTATGCGTAGAGGCTTGGACAGTGGCTCGGTGATGTGCAGTTATTGTCTGACAGTTGAGGAGGAATCAGACCATATTTTGCTATCATGCCTGTTTGCGAAAACGGTGTCGGAATGGGTCCTTAAGTGGTGTGGCATTCCAATGTTCCACGTGTCGACAATTGGAGAGTTAACTGAGTGCATGGATGCATTTAGGAATGATAAGGGACAAAAAAAATACCTTAATTACCATTTGTTATGGGACGATATGGTGGATTTGGAAGGCGAGGTGCGACTAGAGTACTCAAAAACATACGAGCTCATCCAACCAAGGTGGCTACATTATCAAATCTCAGGTGTTCGTTTGGATCAAACATAGACGTTTGAAATGTTGTTATAAATGGGTTGATTAGTCCATTTCTCCTTTAGTCTGTATGTAAACATCTATGTTCTTTTGCTCCGGTTTTTTCACCATCGTCTAGTGACTTGCTAGGTGGACGGTGGCAGAGATTTATTAATATATTTGCCGGTTCCAAAAAAAAAAAGGGAAGTTCACCATTTCATCTACTTCTCAATAATTATGAAACATTAATTGATATACAATCTTAAAAGATGAAAAAATAAGGTATATAAATGGCATACCCTTGGACTGCATAATTGTTGAGTTGAGCATATTCAATATCAAGCTTCCACCAACAGTAATGAAAGCAAATCAGGCTCTCGCCCAAATTGTTATTCTTGTTATTACCAAATATGTAAATTGTTATTCTTGTTATTACCAAATATGTATTTAATGGATGTGGTGAACGCAACAAATTACAATGTATTTAGTTGATTTGTCTATTCTGGTGTCCTATTTCCATTTGTTTTTTCCAGTTAGAGCATTGTAAATTGAAAAATATAGGTCCACACCTAAATGATAGCAAACTAGCAATATCATCCAAATACAAACAATTTCCAGCACTCAAATAGTATAATTGGGTAGATTTTTAAAAATTTAATGCCCTCATAAGAAAAAAAAAAAAAAAAAAAAAAAAACTCCTCAAAAGTACAACGTTATATTTGTGTAGATTTTTCATATTCTAATGCCTTAATAAGAAAATAACCGTCAAACATTGCCATAGAAAGGAATGAAAAAATAACTTAGTAGAATAATGCCCAATATGTATCCAAGAAAAAGACAAGATAATCCATAGCATCAGATAAGATTTTTGTTTTCAGCATGTACATATAGATAACTTAATCATAGATAGGATAGTCTCAATAAGATTAGGAAAAGAAAACCAACTATAAAGTCCAAACAATCACCAATAATCTTTACAAGAACAAACACCACTTTCAAAATGATGGAACCTCCTTTCATCACGTGCAACGATTGATCTTCCAACCAGCTTTGAAATAATCTTGAACGCATCATGGCAATCAGCACAAATACGATGGTTATTTATTATTCTTATTGGTGCACGTGCTGGACTAGTCAAAAGTGCTTCAGATAAAGCAAGCATGCGACTATGTGATAAAAGATCTTCTTCTCTACTTTCATGATCCACATCATGGAGTACCAATCTAGTCTGGGCCACATATCCGACTTCTACCATGTGTTGTTTTAGACACCTAAGTTGACTGTATAACTTCTCATGATCAGGGGGAGATGTATCCCCGGCCCTAAACAGAAAAGTTTCGGTTTTAAACGAGAAGGGTCTAGAAGGTTTTATTGGTATGAAGTCTTTCTCTGGTTGTTTATCTAAACGAGAAGGGTCTAGAAGGTTAACAATCTCAGCACAACGGTCTTCGAGTTCTAAATCCCCGTGAACCCTAGATTGATTCATCATAATTTCCCAAATTTCTGCACTTGGCTTCATCGGCATCTTTTCTATTAATTCCAATGCTTCATTTAAGTACCCTGAACTCCCGAGCATATCCACTACACAGACATAATCATCCATGGATGGGATAAGCTTGTATGTCTTCATCATTGATTCCAACTGCAATAACCCTTCTTTCATGTCTCCTACGACACTACATGCAGCAAAGACACCATGAAACATTTGATTATCGGGTTTTAATCTGACCTTTTTGAATTCGGTGAACATTTTGATTGCGTCTTCGCCATGGCCGTTTTTAGCAAACCCTGTTATCATGGTGTCCCAAGAGGTAAGATTTCTTTTGGGCATTTTATCAAACACGTTATATGCGTCTTCCATGGAACCACATTTCGAATACATCTCCAAGATTTTGTTGCAAATGTGAACATCATGATGATGTCCTGACATTGTGAGGTGGTTATGGACAGCTTTAGCTTCTTTAAGTGCCTGAGATTCTCCGCATGCTTTCATCAATAATAGATATCCAGGCATTTCAACTGTTACTTTCTTCAGCTCAAGTAAACCTAAAACCTCAACAGCTTCCTCTAACTTCTTGTCCTTGCATAAAGCATTAAGCTCCTCAAGTAATCCCTTTCCCTCATCAGCTTCATGTTGAGAATCTACCATGCCACTATAACACCTATTTGAGATTTGAAAATTGGCTGCAGTACTCTTCTGATTATATGACCCATTGACGTTATATTGGCTGTGACAATGTAAACCATGATCACCCATGTAATAGCTCTGCCCATAAGCCCCACTTAAACTTCTCTGAATACCCATGGAAGTTTCTCTATAAAATCCATTACGATTTTGGCTATATTTTACTTTCTCTAGAAGACCAGTCCTGTCCACTCCCAGTACGTGGGAACTGATTAGGGTTTTGGGGATCAAAGATCTCATCGATGGTATCAGAATTGAGCGTGCAAAATTTTTTAGCAAAAGGAAGGACTTTGGAGGAACTATCTATGCAATAACTGCGTGAAGTATTTGTACCATTGCATACCTTATAGAGATGATTCAGAGATTTCATCGTTTGGAGCGACCTCACTGTTGATTTAGACATGCTTTGCTTGTCGAAGTTAATCGGCGTCCGTCTGTGTTTTCGGCGGGGGTCACAAGGGGAGCGATAGGCCGTTACCAATCCAGGTTCTCTAATCGACCAAGGCTACTTCATACCATATATGATATGTAGAATAATATGAAGAGAAAATGTCATATATTTACATGTTAATCTCATTCGATTTAAATCTTATAAAATTGGAAAAAAGATTCGCTGGGATGTATCCTAACAACCCAACAACAGAAATCCGAATACAATACAATTTATATCTTATAAAGAGTAAACTACAAAAATGGTCCATGTTGGTTGGTTAAATTCAAATTTGGTTACTCATCCAAAATATTAATAGGTTACATATAACTATAGTTCATGAAAATTACATCGAAGGTAATTTACCCTTACTATTTCTTTTTTACTTTTACTTTTTCTCTTTCTTATACTCATCTACAATTACTTTTAATATAAAAATAAAAAAGTTCCATCCCCTACCCTCCACCCATCTTCTTCATCTCCTTTGCAAACCCCACCCTCCCACAATCCAACTATCATTACCTCTTTATAGCACACACCCCAAAGGATTTTAGGTTGTGAGACATAGAGGCTCACGACATGAGATGGGTTGCATGGAGACCTTTGTCCGGGACCGAGCTTACGATGTGAGCAATAAGAGCTCACGACGTGAGAGCTGCTGCAGCCCAAACCCATGATCTTTTAGGGTTTCCTTCGTATTAAAGCATCTCTAACCTCATTTTAGGGTTTCTTATCAGTCTCAAACCCTCTTTCACCTTAGAAAAACCCTAGTACCCATCATTGCTTGATCTTTGGTGGTTTTGGAGCTTTTCTTGGTTTGTAAGAAGGAGAAAAGAAGAAGAAGAAGAAGAAAGTCTTGTGTTGTGGCTTGCAAGGAATCATCATCAACATCACCTTACATTGTTTCTAAACCATTCTAAGTGATAAAGCTCCTACCTTATGGTTATATAAGGCTATATCTAAGTTTTGTCCCACTTTTCTTCTTAGATGTGTATGTTTGAATGAATAGAAACCATATAGTTGGCAACTTTATGGGTTATGAAACTTGCATGAAAGTTGGATGCCTTTTTCTTCAACTTTGGACCTAAATGAGATCTAGACATGTATTGGACATGTATGTCTTAGTGTCAGTGGCGAGTCTAGAACGTAAAATCACATGGTTAACTATTTAAATGAAACTGATAGTGTATGTGTGTGTGTGTGTATATATATATATATATATATATATATATATATATATATAT